TGGTAGGAAAAAGCAATATAGTGAAAATGGCCATATTTCCAAAATTCTCATACAGAAAGCAATTCCAATCAAAATTCCAATAGCATATCTCACAGATTTAGGAAAAAAACCTAAAATTCATCTAGAATCAAAAGAGATCTAGAAAAGCAAAGGTAATCTTGGGCAACAAAGACAAGACAGGAGGCATTGCAATCTCTGACTGGAAATTATACTGTAAAGCTACTGTGATAAAAACAATGTGTTACACACACCCCCCCCCCCACACACACACACACAAAACAGACCAGAAGATTAATGGAACAGATTAGAAGATGCAGAACACACTAAGACACACTATCTTTGACAAAGGCACCAAACACATCCACTAGAAGAAAGCCTCTTTAATAAATACTGCTGGAAAAACTGGCTCCATGCCGAAGACTAAAACTGGACCCATATCTTTCACTGTATACTAAGCTAAAATCAGAATGGATCAGAGATCTTAATACTAAAACAGAAACATTAAATCTGCTGGAATATAAAGTAAAAACTCTTGAAGACATTGGTGTACTCAAAGACCTTATGAACAAAATCCTGGCTTCTCAGGAACAATCACAACGAATCAACAACTGGGATCTCACCCTCCTGAAAAGCTTTTTCACAGCAAGAGAAATCACCAACAGAGTTGTCTACCTGCAAAATCAGAGAAAATATTTGCCAGCTGATCCTCAGAGGATTATTATCAATAACATATAAAGAACTCAAAAAAAAAAAAATCAGTCATCCCAAATTTAAAGACACAATCCAAAAATGGGCATCTAAAATGTATGCATACTTCTCAGATGAAGACATACAAACAGCAAATAAATACGTGAAAAAATGTTCAACATCACTGATCATTTGAGAGATACAAATTAAAACAATACTGAGATTCCACTTCACCCCAGGAAGAATGGTTACTATCAAGAAATCAGGCAAGGGCTGGGGACTTGGCTTGGCCGGCAGACTGAAAATCCTACATTTAATACCCTGTACAAAAATAAAAAAAATAAAAAATAAATAAAGCAATAACAAATACTGGAGGGATTGTGGGGAAAAAAGAATCCTTCTCCATTGTTGGGAACACAGACTGGTACAACCGCTGTGGAAATCAGCGTGGAGATTCCTCAAAAAGCTAGTACTAGAGGTGCCATTCAACCCAGCTATTTTCCTTCTGGGTATCTTTCAAAAAAACTAAAAATATTATACCACAGTGATGTATGTGCACCCATGTTTATTGCGGCACAGTTTGTAATAGTCAGATTTTGGAAACAACCTAAATGCCCATCAACTGAGGAATGGATAAAAAAATGTGGTATTTTTACACAATGGAGTACTACTTAGCCATAAAGATAAACTGGAGACTTTTATAGGTAAATAGATGCAACATCTTGAGAACATACTCATTAGTGAGATAAATAAGACACAAGTGTAAACATCATACTGTTTCATCAGTGTGAGAAGTAGAAAGAAAAAACATATGTATATGTGTATGTATATGTACATAAAAATAATAGTTATGATAGTTATACTAATGATTTCTCTGAGTTCACTGAAGAGAAAGCTTTGCGCTGATATTGTTTGGACAACTGAATACAGATGTCCTGTGTCCTGGGTGAATGATTTGGGGATGACAATGCGCAATGTATGTACCATTGTTTCCTTCTAATTGGTGTGTTTTGGAATTTTGTTGTAGCTTTTTCTCCTCCTCCACCTCCCCTCCTCCTCCTCCTCCTCCTCCTTCTTCTTCTTCCTCCTCTGTTCTAAAAATTTTTATCCTTTAAATAAAATGGATTTGGAAAAAATAAAAATAATAAGAATAAAACAAGAATGAACCTTTAAAAAACTCACAGTAAATACAATATTTAATGATAAAATACTATAAGCTTCAAATCAAGCAAAACTATTAATAGCTATAGAAGTCAGAGTAGTAGTTACATATATGGTACTCATTAACAGTTAGACACATCATGGAAGCTCTCTGGATACTGGCAATATTCTGTATCTTGGCCTGAGTGGTATTTATATGGTTATGCGCCCTTTGTAAAGTGTTATAACTGAGTTATACACTTAAAGTCTGTATATATTATTATGTTTATTACATTTATTATACTAAATAAATCTATTTGTGAAAAATTTCATCAATGTTTTCAGTGAAACTTTATGTAATCTCCTTGAAGTATATTTAACAGCTAAGTACCAATATATCCAGAGACTTTAGATTATGGAGGAAGGAGACCTCTCAAGTATAATGACATTAAGAAGTTATCCTACTTAAGACAATATATTACTATATAGAAACACAAACAGTACAGAGCCCTGAAAGAAACTCACAGGTATACTCAATCAGTATACATTGGGAAAAGGAGATACTATACTAGATGAAGCTAGAATAACTGATTACTATTTAGGGGGAAATGAGTAAAATGGACCTTTACCTCATACCAGTGATGGAGAGCCTTTTAGAGCTTTCAGTAATACAAACAGCCTGCTATGCACAGTGCCACAGGTTCACCATCACTGCTACACTATGAAAGAGAAATTGTTCTGAATGATTTGTGACTATAAATAACAAAAGCATGGCTTTAGAACTTTCTAACGAAGACAAAGGTTTTGACTTTTGGGTAAGAATGGATTTCTCAAATGAGATGCCAAAGCACTAACTACAATTATTAATTTGTCAAAATGAAAATGAGAATTCATGTATATTAAGCAACAACAAAAGAAAACGACATGGTGTACACTGAGATATCTGCCATACATTTCACTTGTAAAGGATCACTATCAAAAACATAAAAAATTTTTAAATTGGTAAGAAAAAAATCCAATAGAAGAATGGACAAATGATGTAAAATATATTTCAGAGTAGAGCATATGCTGAGCATATGCATAGTCATTTGAAGATGTAATTCCATCAGAGATACGCACTTAAAAGCAAAATAAGATTTTATTTTATACTAATTTAGTTGGCAACAAATTAAAAAGTATGACAATAAGTGTTCAAAAGGACATGACTCAACTACATCTTTACACATTGTTGTTTTTTTGGCTTTGTTTTCCTTTGGTACCAGGGATCAAACTCACGGCCTCGTTAATTGCCAGGCAGGCGCACATGCCACTGAGCTAAATCCCCACCACTCTTATACATCGTTGATGGGAGAAAAATTAATAAAACAATAAAATAAACTATCAATATTTTGTAAAAATAATAATGTTATGCTCTAAAACCTATAGTTTTTCACTGTTAGATATATAGCTCACAAAATCGTATACAAATGCACTCCAAGAATTATATACAAAAATACAGTTGGGGCTAAGGACACAGCACTTTCCTAACCATGTTCAAGGCCTAAGGTTTGATCCTCTGCACCAAAAATAAAGTCAATGTCAACATTACCTGCAACAAAATACTAGAAATAACCAAAATAGTCAAATAGATGAATGAACAATTAATTGTCATATAGTCATATGCAACAGAATATTTTAAAGCACTATATCCAACATGAGTCAAAATTGCCAAAATATATGCAATAATATATATTATAGTAGTTTTATACATGATGAAATTAAATAATATACTATGTCCTTATAAATGTGTACATGATAAAACTTTTAAAACATCAATATAATAATAGTTTAGTGACTACTTCTTTTGAAAGAATTAAGGTACCAAAAAACAGATGTAAGTCATAAGTAATGTCCTACTTTTTGGATGAGATGGCGAAAAAATATTTTTAGCTTAATAAACAAAGTAAATTAAATAAGGCTATGCATATCACAAAATAGTGTGTCATGATGTTAATGTTATGATTAATCCATTTCAGAGTACCGCTTGTCAAAATATGCAATACAATATAATGCAAATTTAGAAGCTGTTGCCTTAACACCAAGTTTTTCACAAGTGAAAATGTTCTTGGTTAAGACATTACTATTGGAAAATAATCACCCAAATCCCTGTGTGAATAATTCCAATTATGAGTTAAATTAATGAATTGTAAAATTTCAAGGACTGTAGTAAATTATGTTAAAAACATAAATTCACAGAACTTGGACATTTTAAAAAGATATTGAACCTGAAAGTTACCTTGAACATTGTCAGAGGTACCACTGAATATTTTTCAGATACAAAGACCTATCCTTGATTTGTACTATGCCAACAATCTTCAAAAAATTCTATGACAGATTTCATTAATATCAGTATTTTTATGTATGAAAAATTTTCAGCTAAACCGCTGAGGAAATTTATCCAAGTTTATTTACCATGGAAAACAGAAAGGCCAAATGACCCAGTCATACCCAAATATCAGTACAGAATTAGGACTAACAGGAAATAAGTATCACATACCAAGCCTTGTGGTTAAGTAAGGTTATGAGATATAATGTTAGGTGCTCTTACTGTTATATCCTTCAGTTACAGTCTTAAAAAGACAATAACTTATTAATTTTCTTTTCAATGACAAAATAATTCATCATAATTACTATAAATATCCATAGAGTATTCCTTCCTGAACTCTGTGTAAAATACCAGTATCTGCAGAAGCCAGGTCCCTTACATAAAATAGCATAATATTTGTATATAATCTATTCATATCATTCCATATATTTTAAATCATCTGTTTACTTATAACACCTAATAAAATGTGAGACATATAGTTGTTTTATTATTTACAGAATAATCATTAAAAATTTATACATATTCAGTACAAATGCAATTCTTTTATCAAATACATTTGATCTGTATTTGGTTGAATTTACAAATGCAAAACCTGCTGATACAGTGGGTCAATTATGCTTCATGTGCTCTGTATTTCTCCAGGTATTTCTGTACGAATTTACATTACAGACAATATCCATGTCTACACAGAGTATAAAAAGTAGCAGAATACAAACAACCATAATTTGTATGGTAGTATTGTGAATCTGATTCAATTTTGAGCAAGTCAAATTTAGGAGATAGGAAATAATTAGAAAATGTCTCTCACCTGGGCTGAACGGTCTGAATCACCTTCTTGAGGTAAAGGACAGGGTGTTCCTTGCAAATTCTGAAGTTTTTCTTTTAATTTTGCATTTTCTTGTTCTTTTTGAACTAGCTGGTCTTGAAGATCAGCAATACTTTGCCGGAGCACAGTTTCACTTGACTTTGTCATTTCAAAACATACTTGTAACTCATTGTAAAGCTATTTTTAAAAATCCAGATTACATTAATAAACAATATGCTAGTAATGTATAAATATATATACACATGAACTGTATATAACAATGTGCTTATCCCCACATTATTTTAATAGCCTAAAAGAGAAAACAAGATATAAATACAAGGAAACCAACTTATGTTTAAAAAGGTAATGTAGCCAGGCATGGTGGTACATTTCTGTAGTCTCAGTACTCAGGAAGCTGAGGCAGGAGGATCACTAAGAGCTCAAGGCCTGCCTGGGCTACAAAGAGAATTCAAAGTCACCTGAACTACAGAATAAGACCCTGACTCAAAAAAAAAAAAAAAAGGTAATATATATTACTGGCCAGTGCAATACAAAAAAGTACTAAGAATAGAAAGACTTAGAATAGTGTACTAAGCATTTCCAAAGGTTTCTGAACCATATCACTGGATATAAACACAACAATTCCAGTTCTTCATACTAATTTTTTGTGTCCGTTTTCTTCACTTTGTTGTTGTTACAGTGACAAAATACCCAAGAATATTAGTCACATTAATCTCAATCAACTCCATGAAAACAAAATCTTTGAACTCAGCCATGACAATTTTATTGCACTGGACAAAAAAACAGTCATTTTAAAGAGAGCAGAGATGTGAAAAAATAATGTACTTTGCTAGAAAATAATATGAAAAAGTAATAAAGTATGTCAGATTATTTGAATATAAAGATTTCAAAGAAAAGAACAAATATTTCATTAACAACTCATTAAATATTAAATAAGTATTTTGCCTCACAATTTCAGAAGTTCCAGTTCTTAGTCATTTGATCATGTTGCTTTGGACCTGTGGCAAGGTATATGTCATGGCAAAAGTGTGTGTGTGTGTGTGTGTGTGTGTGTGTGTGGGTGTGTGTGTGTGTTCAATGTGTACTAATGAGCACTAAGAATTTGAACTAGTAACTAGGAGAAGTATATTGACACTTTATTTACAATACTGAAAAAATTATATTACTATTTCTAAAATAATTATATGTCATGGTTTTATACCCTGTAATGTTGAAGTGACATGTATCATTACTATGCTCTAAGGTATGCTAAAATATATTTCAAACTCTTTAAGGAAATACTCAAAATGTTAACAATATTTGCCTTAGGATAAAACTATAAAAGATTCTTTGTTTTTATGGATAACTATTTATACATAGACCACTAAAGAAAACAACTAAGGCTAACTTCAGGCAAGCCTAAGTATATCATCAAGAAATCCCACTTTTAAAGTAAGCTTAGCTAAGGATACTAATGAAAACCATATGACCAACCGTCTAAACCAACTTCAAAATTAAAATACTACAATGGAAATTACAATTTCAGAATAACAATCAAGTGAAACATCAATGAACTATTCTTTTTCCCCCTTGAAGATATATGTTTGAAAAATACACAAAAGGGAAATGGAATTCAATCTTGAGAAAAAGAAGACCCTCCTCCAAAAAAACCACACACAGAAACACAGATTAAACATAGGAAAAAATCAAGCATCATATCTCAGTTTATTTTTTCTTTGCTTTTCTTTAGCCTCGATACTATTCAGACGCACAATACATCCCTATCACTTAAAATTAGTCTCTCTTGTATTTTTGTAATAAACATCACCAATATTATTAGTAGGTATCCCACACTCAACATGTTTAAAACTAAGCTGTAATCTGTTGTCTGCAACATATCACCAATATTAATTCATCCAAGGACAGCGCCCCTCTTCTATGTTGTATGGTATTAGGGATTTAACCCATGATCTACAAACTGAGCTACATCCTCAGCCATTTTTTTAAAAAAGCCTTTAAGACAGTTACTAAGTTGCCTACACAGGGCCTAGACCTGCCTCAACTTCCAAGAGTCCTGAAACCATGCTTAAAGGACAGCCTTTTGAATCTCTGGAGTTGGAAAAGGTCCCATTATGTTTTCATACGGTCTCCCTAGCTCTACTATTACAACAATCATTATTCTTAAGCATTTAATGTTTGTCATCAATTAATTTTAAGCTATAAGAGAGATAAATAAAAGAAGTAAAATGATACCTATGCCTAAACCTATGGGAGCATCTTTCAGGCCCTGGAAGCAAGTGCAAAGACCTTACCGTTGAAGAATACTTGGTATGGTCAAGGAACAAAAACAAGGTTAATGTGAGTGAACTGTAGCAAAAAGAAGAGAAGGTGAAAGTGAGGTCAGAGAGGTAATGCAGTGAAAGTTAACACAGGACTTCACAGGTGATACTAAGAATTTAGGTTTTTATTTTTTAATGGGATAGGAAAACCATAAGGGGATTTAAGATAAGAGTGACCTGATTTGAGTTATTAAAATTTAGCAAGAAAATCCTAGTATCCATATTGACAGTGCAGTGAAAAGGCAGAAGGTGAGACCAAAGAAATAAAGTGACAAACTATTATACTCAGGTACTACATTAGAAACATGGACGAAATGATGACGCAGGGGTAGTAGGAAATAAAATTATGAAATGTGTTCCAGACAGCAGACAATAGCTTAGTTTTGAACATACAATGTGTGAGATGCCCACTATGCATTCAAGCAAAGAGATTATAAAGTAAGTTTAGGGAAACATAAAAGCACTTTTTGGCTCAGACTATGAAGGGAAGGGGCACTGGGAAGCAGTGGATTCTGTGTCAACAGAACTTCAGTGCAGAAGCATCTCCCAATACCCCAGTGTAAATAACTTCTGTAGCCAAGGTCAATACTGGTCACTGTAAATAACTTACACAACTAAGGTCATTACTGGCACGTGGCCACTATTGTGTGTTTAGGTACAAACATAACTGCCAGGATGATTGGGGCAACTAAGCGTCTGGCAACTTCTCTGAGAATGGGCTAGCTAAGGGGCTAAGGACTGCTGTGAATATACTGCTGGGGACCCCGAGAGCAGCTAAACAGATGGCTAAGCAGCTGAATAAAAGATGTTAACCCAGTCCACAGCTCACCTCTCTTCTTCGGGCTTCCCAAATCTCAAGTAAACTTCCTCAAACTGAATGTGTAACAAGACAGTAAAGATTATATCTGATCTTCAAATTTGGCAAAGAGATTTGGGGAGAATAAACAGATTTTGAAGTGTTTGACTTTGAAAGCAAAAGTGAGGCATAGGTGATTGGACAGATCGCCTAGAATGTGAATCTAAAAAAAGAAGAAGAAAGAAAAGAAGAAGAAGAAGAAGAAGAAGAAGAAGTAGTAGTAGTAGTAGTAGTAGTAGTAGTAGTAGTAATAGGAGTAGCAGAAGAAATTGTAAGACTGAGGTGAGGTCTGGGACACTTTAAAAAAAAAAAAGGTACAAAGACTAGGAAGAACTGGAAAAAAAAAAAAAAAAAAAAAAAAACTAAAAAAATTGCCAGAAACTGAAGAAAGAAAATCATGCAACTAAAATATACTAGAAGCCAGGAAAGGAAAAAGTATTTCAAGAGACAGTCATCAATAGCAACAATTAAAATTACTAATAAAGAGCAAATTTTCAAAGCATTTTATCAGTGGAGGCTGGTTTAGCACACTAATGTGGAATGCAAAACAGAAGTTTGAGCTACTCTAAAGTGGAGAGGATAGACTCTATCCTCCTGCTTGGTATCACTCATATCCTTTGGGAAACATGAAGAGAATACAGAATGTAGACTGAAAAACACTGTTCCAAAGCATCATTTAAAAACATGTGCTTAAAATTTACTTAATATGGTTACTGTTTTGTTTTAACTGTAGATATTAGATTTTCATGGTACAATTTTAGAAGACAGCACTAAAAAAATTCAAAATTCATTGTACTAGTTAACCACTATAAGCCTTATCAGCTTTAACTAGTAAATGGGAATGTGGTGGCTCTCATAGAGTTAGTATATATAAAATAAATTATTTACATAAATGACTTAGAAGAGTACATAAAAATATAGAGAACTCAATAAAGTTATTTTTTAACTTACAAACTATAACTACTCTTACTGGTCCAGTTAGCATAACTACATAATTGGATAAGCCTTCTTGAGGGTCTCCTAAAGTAGAATGACTACTGAAAAGGAACACCCCCCAAAATAGAGAAAATCGTTGTAAAATATTGATCCTAAAGACCTCATTAGCATTCCTCTTTGTGTTTGTGATTTGTCAATAAAATAATGTACAAATTTTATAATGAAAGTCTGCTTTAGGTCTTAAATTAGGATCATACTTGACCAAATATTTTCTCACATTAAAGGCTGAATAGTTCTCCTCAAATTCTTTCTAGTTCTAGGGCTGTAGCCCAAGAAGTTTCATAGAACATATAAAAATTCCATTTTCTAAGAAAAATAAGCTATGAGATAGATTCAGATATTTTAAATTATTTAGTTCTGATAACTATAAAGAAAACTCACAAAAAGTTAAATATTATCAAATTAAAGAATACTTCACTGGAAGAAACACTCTATGTGTAAAAGGGAATAATAAAGCAATGCTAAAATTCTGCAAATTTGATTTCTACGTATTGTTCTAAGTTTATACACAGAAACCTATAATTCTATGACAAAACAAATGCATACTTTTTGATATGATACACTTTCAGCCGTGTGAACATCTTCCCGATCTTTCAGTACTTTTTGTGTATCCATATTGAGAACCTGAAGCTGCTGGATCAGCTCTGCTTGCTGTGCTGTGTGTGCGCTGTTCTGTTTGTAAAGATTCTGCAGCTCCTGCAATTCTTTCCTGTGCAAACCAAGCAATAAATAAAAGCATGAATAAAGATCACCTCAGTTAAATAACTGTGTTCGTCTAAGGCTATAGATCGGCTTCCTATTTTTCATCTATTATATTTTACTGCGGGAAAAATTATTAATAAAAGAAATAATATATAAAATATTTAATATTTATCACCTACACCTAGAAAGTATTGATAGAACTATGACTTTCAAAGGCAAATACTTATCAATTTTATAGCTTGACATTAATAAAAATACTGGATATATAGTCACCTTCTTATTTAAATTTAGTTAACACTTCAGTTCCAAGAATTAGTAAATCCTGCTGCCAACTATAGTATACAAGGTAAGTTAATCCTCCAACTTGTATTACATAGAACCTTAAATGCATTAAAAAAATCCCAAAGTCAAGATTCGTTTTTCAAACCAAAGGCCTTTACAGTGTCATTGCTGGTTCTACTTTGTAACCTCAGAGACTGAGGCTGGGATTCCTTTGACTCCTCTAATCCAAAATGAAGATGATGCGGCAAGAAAGTGAGAAAGGAGAGTAACAAGGGAAAACTAGTATTTCCAAGCAATCCAGGGTAAAACACGTAAGCAAGAGGACAAATGTACATGTATACATGTGATAGTAACAATGCACTAAAAGTCAGAAAGAACCACACCTCTGAGACAGGTTTTCAGATTCCCAGGTAAATTAATCCTCTGATACAGATCACACAAAACTGGAAATTATTTTATATACTCAATTTAAAGATAAAAATACTTAGTCATATTTTATTTAAGTATACTTTATAGAATTTTTATTTACCTATGGCTTTAAATTTGTGATACATTTACATAAAATCAGTCTTAAAGGGAAAAGAAATATTTGTAAAGTTCTCAAAGAATGCATGCAAATTAATATAAGAGTAAAAATCCCTGCTTCTTAAATGTTTAGGACATCAAAATTCTTTGACTACATCCACAATCGCTGCACATATATATGTGCATACATCATCATTCTAAAACAGAAACTTGTAAAAAAAAATTAAGTAACAGTATAAATACGGGAAGGGGAAACAAGAGAGCATGTAATGGCAAGATGTCCCCAGGGAACGTATTACTTACAATCCAAAAGGGTTAGGGTTAGAACCTATGATAATAATGGCTCTTGAGTATTGCCATTTTCCACAACTAAAATTGAATAAATTATCAAAGGATATAAGCAACTGTATCTCTACTAGAGAACAGTCGATAATACGGAAGTACCTTGGTTCATGAATTTAATTCTTTTCATGATTCTGGTCACAAAATCTTTTACAGTTGCAAGCATAATTATGAAACTAATTCTGCATCCAAAATCATGGGAAAAATTAAGTTCATGAACTGAGGTGTATGTTAGGCAGGAGATCTAAATAAATACTGCATTTTAGAAAGGGGGTGTGATGAAAGTAAAATATATCTTTCAATACAATGCAAAACAGTAAATTTATCTCTCATCCAATATTAAAAGATATTTTCTTAATAAGAGAGCCAGAATTAGTAGAACCAGAACTTATATATATTAGGGATCATGTACTATAAAATTTATGTATCTCTAGTCAGAGAGATACACTCATGAGTAGAAAGATCCTGATATTATTATGAGGCACTTGAGGACTAAAACTCAATTAAAGGAAGAGCAATTTTTATCTACTATTTCATGCTATTTTCACAGCATACTTTCAGAAAGTAGAATGGAAGCATAATCTTACATTATGCATGTGTGTTTATTTTTCTAAGTCAACCTCTGAAACAAAGGAATGATGTGTGTAAAATACAACAAATGTAATAGAATTTGATTAACATCAAAATAGGCAATAAATTTACAAAACTCGTACATCTGGATAACCAGAAAACACTGGATTTGTCTAGATCTCTACTCATTTAAAAACAAATATGGAAATATTCACTATGCTGACTCGAAGAAGTACATCCCAGAGTAGTAACTATTGAAAAAAATCTTATAAGAAATACAAAAAAGAAATGATCAGACTTCTCTGAATAATGAGTAGACAAGCCAGATCTGCCCTCTGTGAAGGCAAGGAGTTTTTGTTCACTTTACAAGACAGTTCTTGTCCTCTATTGAATATTTCTTGTTGTGCTAGAGGCAATTTATGTAACCTTTCAGTCTGAGCCTCAGTGGGCTTGTAGACTCTCAGTCCCTTCCTCTGCTTTAGCCTATGAACTCTCACTTGAACCTAACAAATACATGTATCTCATGTAGCTCTATATCATTTGAGGCCAACTAGCTTCATATCTATAGTAGTTGTTTCCTTGTCCAGCTCCAAACCTAGAATTAAATGCTACAACACACAGTATGGTATGAACAATGAACTTTGACTAGTAGAAGCCAAAATGCAAAAAAGAAACCAGCCAGAGAAATTACAAATTTCTTTCCATCGATACCAGCATGACTCCTCTATGCAGACTCAACTTGGGAAGCTAATTTACTATTCCTACTACGTCTTCATAATTCATCATGAAGCAGAGACCCTATGATAATGCTTACCTTGAACTGCTTTTTACCCTTTCTTGCCTTTGAGTTTTGCTTCCTTATTCACTTTGCAGTGGACCTGATGCTCCTAAGTAATAAGTACTTAAGTCCCTCGTATAGAACTGTTTCCTCAGATATCTGAAAACAGTTGTAGAATGAATGAAATAAGGGTAACATAAAGAACAAGTTTAAACCAGGTAGGCACACCTGTAATCTTAGAACTTGGAGGCTGAGGTAAAAAGATCATCATGAGTTCAAAGCCAGCCTGGACTACATAGTGCATTTAACGGCAGCCTGAAGAGCATGGTGAGATCCTGTCTCAATCAACCAATCAATAAATAAATGTATATTAAATAAAATAAGTTTTAGTAAATCAAACTTGAGAACTTTCGCTAAACACAGTTCAAATGGAATGAAGGAAAATCTGAGTAGAAGCAAAAGAAAAGTTACTGAGAATCAATAATGTTTCTTCCCAGCCCAACAAACATTGAGCTCTTAAAAAATACTGCACTGCTGAAAAGTAAAACCAGTGATTTTTTTTTTTTTTTTTTTTTTTTTTTTTTTGGTTACAATGATGTTAGTAAATTGGTTGGGTCACGGATAAATGAGGTCTCTTTGGAGACCAAGTTTGACAACAAAGCCACAGAGGAATTCAAACATATTCTCTACATTATTCTGTAATTTTAAAATGTCCTGATGGCTTACAAAAAATGTTATTATTTGTTCACATTATGTATGATTTTTTCCTAAAATAAGAAAAAATTTGAAGACCACCCTTGAGACAATAATGTTAAGTGAAATAAATCAGACACATAAGACTAAACATTACAAGATTACTCTTCTATGAGAAACTCAAATTATAAAGAACAAAATAAAAGAAATAATAGGAAGTAGGGAGATGGATCTTTCTCAAATGGGAAAGAGATCAAGACATTGAGAAACAGGAAGGAAAAGAGGGAAAGGCAAAGAAAGAAAAAAAGAATTAAGCTGTGTTATGTATATGTACCAACCCCACACAAGAAATGTAAACATATACTGCAAACATACTAATAAAAAAACGGAAAAACCTGGAGTATCAGATTAGCTAGGGAATATACTGCTTTCACAGCAGAAGCTAAAAAATGAAGGCAAACTAAGTAATGACTCCTTTAAAACATGTTTACAAAGCATGGAGATTTAGCTCAGTGGAACAAACACCTGCCTGGCAAGCACAGTCATGAGTTCGATCCCCATTACCAAACAAAAAAAAAAAAAAAAAGAAGAAGAAGAAGAAGAAGAAAAAATAAGGAGGAAGGAAGAAGGAAGGGCTAGGAAGGAGGAGGAAGAAGAGGAGGAGGAGGAAGAGGAGGAAGAGGAAAAATTAGTAGTAGAAGTCCTATGGATATATCTGGTTCCAATGGGGGAGAAAGCATACACTAACAATAGGTAAAGATAGATGTATAAAATGAACAAAAACAAAGAATAGAGGGCTGAAGGTTTAGCTCAGCAGTGTAAGCACCTGCCTGGTAAGCATGAGGTTGTGAGTTTGATCCCAGGTACAAAAAAAAAAAAATCCAAAGAGTAAAAAAATGATACAGCAAGAGTAAAAAGTTCAATGAAGAGCACTGGAATAACAGAATCAAGCTTAGTAGGCATTATGTTTATGCAGGCTTGAATAAATGTTACACAGTAATTCTTTTTTTATCAGTACCAGGGATCAAACTCATGACCACATGCTTGCAAGGCAGGCGCTTATGCCGCTGAGCTAAATCCCCAGCCCTATACAGTAATTTTTAAGACACAAGTTGAAGGGGAATTAAAATGGCTGAATCTATTTGCTAATTTCCAAAGTATACATAAAAGGCTATCAAAACCAACTAAAATGAAATGCAGTTCTAGAAAAACAATAAAATAATCTAAATTTTCAAAGTTTTTCATGTCTTTTTTTTTTAGTCTAGAAGATTTGATGTTTCTTATAGAGAAGAAACAACTATCTGAAATTTAATAATTAGTTGAACTTCACATCAGACTTTTATTCCATTAAGATTAAAAAAAACCCTGAAGTTAGTTAAGGAAAATCATTGGAAACTACATGAGAAAGAGTCAATTTAAAATAGCCACAAAAAACATGAGGCAGGAATGCATTTAGCAAGAAATATTCAAAACCTCTCTAAGAAAAAACGTAAAATGCTTCAGCGTGAAACAGAACAGCATTTCATACTCTGGAACAAAACTGAGTGTGTGGAAGATGCCAATTCTCTTTACGTTTATTCATAAATTTACTACTCTACTGAAACACCTGTTACAAAGGCAGCAAGTTTACTCTAACTTTAGTATAGAAAAATGAATAAATGATAATGGCCAAAAAAGATCAGAAAAAGAGCAGCAAGAGAATGGCCCAATCTTCATCATCTCTATCTACTCAGCCGGTAAGACCCACTTCAGACTCTGTCATACTAGCCCTTTTTCTCTAACTCTGAATTTGACCACTTGGTATTGCTGGCTGAGAA